TTAGTTAAGAAGTGCCCTCACTCGGGATCATATGCATGGTTTACTTACGTGAAAAAGAAAATGGGGTCAGGTTTCCTTTTTTTTGATAGACTTGAACGTGATAAAGTGTGGCCATTTCATCTCTGGTGGTCACACCTGTGAGACTCATTAATAATCTCAAATAGGTTTCATGTGAGTACACTCTGCGCCTCCTCCCTATCCTTCCTTCCTTCCATATTCTCATTGCCGTCCTCTCTTACCTTCTCTACCTATTCCAAACCCACTAACGACCCTCCCCATCCATGCACCCATTGCCATCCTTTCCGCCTTGCATCTTATCCCCAAGTGCTAAGTAAGTAAGTAAGATAAGATAAGATAAGATTTCGTTCGGATTTTTAACCCCGGAGGGTTAGCCACCCAGGATAACCCAAGAAAGTCAGTGCGTCATCGAGGACTGTCTAACTTATTTCCATTGGGGTCCTTAATCTTGTCCCCCAGGATGCGACCCACACCAGTCGACTAACACCCAGGTACCTATTTGCTGCTAGGTGAACAGGACAACAGGTGTAAGGAAACGTGTCGAATGTTTCCACCCGCCGGGAATCGAACCCGGGCCCTCCGTGTGTGAAGCGGAAGCTTTAGCCACCAGACCACAGGTATACACAAATACAGTTACATAGATTATCATACATAGCAGCATATGTGTAGAGAACCTAAGATAACCCCAAAAAAACTCAGAGTGACTTATTTCCATTGGGGTTCCTTCTGTAAATGTTACACCTACAACTGCTACTATTACTACTACTAGTACTACTACTACTAGTACTACTACTACTAGTACTACTACTACTAGTACTACTACTACTAGTACTACTACTACTAGTACTACTACTACTAGTACTACTACTACTACTACTACTACTACTACTACTACTACTACTACTACCTTACTACTATTACTACTCCTATTCCTCGGGAAGGGTGGAAACATTGGAAATTGTTGTCCCGTTCACGTAGCAAGTAAGTAGGTACCTGGGTGTTAGTCGACTGGTGTGGGTCGCATCCTGGGGTACAAGATTGAGGACCACAGTGGAAATAAGTTAGACAGTCCTCGATGACGCACTGACTTTCTTGGGTTATCCTGGGTTGCTAACCCTCCAGGGTTAAAAATTCGAACGAAATCTTATCTTATCTTGCTACTACTACTTTACTGTTACTACTACTAATACTACTACTACCCGTTTATCATTCCTCATCCCTCTACAGGTGTTCATATTTTATGTGGTGTGGGCCAGTGAGCAATGGAGGAGGGGAAGGAGGGGGTGATGAGAGAGGGAGGAAGAGGAGGAGGAGGAGGAGGAGGAGGAGGAGGAGGAGGAAGAGGAGGAGTAAGGGGTTGGTAGGGGAGGGGAAGGAAAGCAGAAGGGCTTAAATAAAAGTTTAGCTGAGGCCTGACTTTCCACAGCTGTGATTAAAAATGTTCTGGGAGACTGTAGCGACTGCGTGTTAGTGTGCCAGTGTGTTGGTGTACCAGTGTGTTGGTGTAGCAGCGTGTTGGTGTACCAGTGTGTTGATGTACCAGTGTGTTGATGTACCAGTGTATTGGTGTACCAGTGTGTTCCTCCAGCGTAGTGTTGCTCCTGTGTTGTGCTGTTTCAATGTTTTGTTCCTGTATGGTGGTTCACCAGTGTGCTAGTGTTCCACTGTAGTAGTGTACTAGAGTGGTAATACACCATTGTGGTAGTGCACCATTGTGATAGTGTATCTAGTGGTGGTGAAATAGCGGTCGTCAAGAAAGCTGTTTGCTCATTGGAACCAAAGAATTTGACTCTGAACTTCATATGACTTTCTGAAATTTATCCACCAGAAACCTGTCCTTCTGACAGTCGACCATAAAAAAGGTGACCTCATGAATATCGATCCCATATATGTCGGCCTTAAAATAGTCGACCATATGAAAGGCGAACTTATTAACATCAACCAGATGAAAGGCGACCTTACCAATGAGAACCCCTTAAAAGTTGACCTCTTTAAAGTCAACCAAATGAAAGTCAAACACATTAAATTCGATCCCATCCACATAGTCCCTCTACGGATTTTGTTTTTGAAATTGGCAGTTTCTGTGTTGGAGGTGGCTGCTGCGACTGTTAGGTGGAGAGCTGAGGCTACGTCGAAGGTGGGAGCTGTGGTAGTGGTTGTGGTGACAACTACAGCGAGGGTGGGAGCTGTGGTAGTGGCTGTGGTGACAACTACAGCGAAGGTGGGAGCTGTGGTAGTGGCTGTGGTGACATCTACAGCGAAGGTGGGAGCTGTGGTAGTGGCTGTGGTGACATCTACAGCGAAGGTGGGAGCTGTGGTAGTGGCTGTGTTGTGGATGCGGGGATCAGTGTTAGGAGAGAATGTGACGGAAGAAGGGAGCTCCATCCCTGAGCAGTGGGAGCACCGCTACCATCAAGACATTGACGGAGACCTGGTGGTCAGGGAATACCTGCTGCAGGAGGTACACCCACGTACTGCACTACTCTGTCCCAGGGGCTTCGTTATTGCCAAGGTATGAACTAAAGACCAGGGAAATTATGGGAAATTATACCAATTTTGTTCGGGTATTTAACCCGGGGAAGGGTTAGCCACCTAGGATAATCAAAGATAGTCAGTGATTCATCGAGAACTGTTTCTCATATTTTCATTGCGGTTCTTCAATTTTGTCCCAGCCGACTAACACCCAAGTACCTACGTACTTACTGTTAAGTGAACAGAGGCAGCAGATGTAAGGAAACATGACAAACGTCTCCACCCATCTTATATGAAACATAAGAAAGGAGGAACACTGCAATAGGCCTGTTGGCCCATACTAGGTAGGTCCTTCACAAATCCAAACCACTAACAGAACAAATGCTACCCAAGCAATAAGCTTTGATAATTCTATTTACTCACGTGCAAATCTCACTCAAATCCAACCCCTCTCACTCATGTATTTATCCAACCTAAATATGAAACTACCCAAGGTTTCAGCTTCGATAACCCAACTTGGCAGACTGTTTCACTCGTCAACTACCCTATTTCCGGACCAGTACTTTCCTGTATCCTCTCGAAATCTAAACTTGTCTAATTTGAATCCATTATTGCGGGTTCTCTCTTGGAGGGATATCCTCAAAACCTTATTTATATCCCCTTTGTTAATACCCATCTTCCACTTATACACTACGATCATGTCTCCCCTCATTCTTCGTCTTACAAGTGAATGTAGTTTAAGGGTCTTCAGTCTTTCTTCATACAGAAGATTTCTAATGCTATGTATTAATTTAGTCATTCTACGCTGAATGTTTTCTAATGAATTTATATGGTTTGTAGATGAATGGTTCAGAGAACCGACATGTTGATAAATTAGACACATGTGCAACTCTTGGGTATCTTTATTGAGGAAACGTTTCGCCACACAGTGGCTTCATCAGTCCATACAAAGGAGAATCTGTTCTTCAAGATTCTCCTTTGTATGGACTGATGAAGCCACTGTGTGGCGAAACGTTTCCTCAATAAAGATACCCAAGAGTTTGCACATGTGTCTAATTTATCAACATGTCGGTTCTCTGAACCATTCATCTACAAACCTGTCAGACACTGCAACTTCTTGGGATCTTAATACTTGGGAATTCTCCGCTTGCCTAATTCTTGGGCACGACCTACTTCAACATTGAACAAATGTTACACGACCTATGACTGCTACACCTCTCCTGCCAACGGTTTAAACTCCTCAGCACGTATGCCGTATTCTATTCAAGATTGATGGACTGACCACATCGACTCAAGGTTGAGGGACTGATTACCTCATTCTCCTCCTGTTCTTCAAGATTCTCCTTTGTATGGACTGATAAAGCCACTGTGTGGCGAAACGTTTCCTCATTAAAGATACCCAAGTGTTGCACATGTGTCTAATTTATCAGGTATACTGAAGAAGGTTAATAAATTAGTTAGGCAGGAACGGCCCCTCATGAATCCATACTCAGTATCATTAATCAAGCTGTGCTTATCCAGATGGCTTCTTATAATATCAGCTATAATTGACTCTAGTAATTTGCCTACAGCTGAGGTCAGGCTTATTGGGCGGTAATTTGACGGTAAAGACTTGTCCCCTGCTTTAAAAATAGGAATTACATTAGCCAACTTCCACATATCGGACACTGCACCTGTTTGAAGAGATAAATTAAAAATATTAAAGATAGAACCACGAATACTCAGTGTGTGAGACGAAAGCACTTTCAACCACGGCACACTTCACTAAGTCATTGCTCTCTCTCTCTCTCTCTCTCTCTCTCTCTCTCAAGATTATGCCCATAACACACTCCCAAGCAACAACACAGTTCCCACGCCCGCAACACAGTTCCCACGCCCGCAACACAGTTCCCACGCCCGCAACACAGTTCCCACGCCCGCAACACAGTTCCCACGCCCGCAACACAGTTCCCACGCCCGCAACACAGTTCTATGCCTACATCACAAGCCCACTGCTGTAACAGTTCCACGTCCATCAGACAATTACATGCTGACGACACAAACTCACGCTTCACAGCATCCCTCTACAACACAACAGTCACAACCCAAGTATCTCACAGTATCCACATCCATGTGTCAGGTACGCATGTTGCTGAGGACAAGTCAGGACATCATCGCTGTCCACCCGGAGGCGGCGCTGCAGGTGCCCTACGCCCACTTTCTGGTGAAGATCGCAGACGGTGTGAAGAGTGACGAGCAGAGAGGCAGCAGCAAGTGCCCTACCCTTCAGGCATGCTTGGGCTACCAGGCATGCCTCTTCAACTATGGCATCGAATTCTGCCACATGGATCCCATCCCCGGCCAGCGTAAGGTGAGCCATTATTATTATTTTTAAATTATTATTTTATTGTTATAAATTTTATTAAAATTTTGGGTTTAAAATACTCACGAAATGGGTAAGGGAAAAACGTTTGCAAATAAACCATCCCAGGGGCGGGATAGAACCCGCGGCCCAGAAAAGCCCCAAAAAACTCCAGACCGCGGGTTAGCCCGGGACCATAGCCACAATAACTTTTCGCCCCAACAAATATTTTCAAACAACCATAGGAAGGTTGGGCATGGGCACCACTTTTGCCAAACAAATTCGCCTTTGTTGGCAATGTTATTGTGGCTAGCGGGTCCAGTGGCTAACGCAGGGCCCCCTGGAGTTTTGAGACTCCTGACCGGGGGTTCTACCCTCCACCCCGGGGTAGGGTTTTCAATTTTTTAAAAATTTTATTATTAAAAATTTTTAGTAAAAAATATTTTTAAATTATCATTATTTATATTTTTAACATTATTATTTTTTTTATTTGCCCCGGAAATATCAATTAAAATTTACCCAAAAGGAAAGGGGAAGGATGGCTGGGAAATTTTTCCTTGGGATCAAGAGCTCTTGACCCTCCAGGGTACCTTGCAGGGGCGAGGATAAACAAAAAAGATTTGTATTGCATTAAAGTTTTTCTCCCCCTCTCCCTCTCTTTTTCTCTCTACCCCCCTTCTTTTCTCTCCCCTCCTCATCCCCCCTCTTCCCCAATTTTTCTCTCCTCCCTCCCCGTTTTTTTCTCTCTCTCTCTCTCTCTCTTCTGATCTTTTTTTGACCGGGTTTTGTTAAAAATGGGTTTACTGCACCTCGCTTGTGGGACACTCAACCAAACTAAATACACACACCCATATGGTACGCTCAAAACCCCACCCCACCAACCAAAAACACTAAAAAGGTAAAGCTCAAGCCAACACAAACTTTAACTACGGGGAAAGTTTTTTAAGCACTTAAAATTGTACTCGCTGGAACGCAGGGGGAGAGAGAAAATCATAATCAAAACTTGGAAAATTTCCCTTTAAGGAAGAAACCCAAATCTGCACCAGAAAATTTACACCCCCACGAAAGAAAAAGACGGGGGGAAAGGGGATGCAAAATGCCCCCAATAAAAAAAATTTAAAGGGGCCATTTTTTTACACTAAAACACCCTAAAATGTCCGGGGGGCCAAAAAACGTTCAACAGCCCCCCCCCCATGCATAAGGGGGGAAATTTCCAAAAACCCCTGGCTGCCTTCAAGAGGGGGCTGGACGCCGTGATCAGCCGGGCTGGGGTTTTGTACGGGTTGGACTACTGTTTGGGCCAACAGTAACAAACCCGGTTGTCAGGGCCCCGATCCACCGGGGGGCCCCGGTCGGGACGGGGAAAAGGCGGGGTTTGATCCCCGGAATACCCTCCGGGAGACACCCCCCACCACTGGGGACATAGTCAACCACACTCACAACACAAAAGTTGATACAAATCAAAGACACTCACGGGCACACCTTTTAATATACCCCCAACCCCCACTCACCACACCCCCACGTGGTACACTCATCTACACTCACCACACACACTGTGTGGTACACTCATCTACACTCACCACACACACTGTGTGGTGCACTCAACCACAATCACCACACACTGTGGTACACTCATCTACACTCACCACACACACTGTGTGGTACACTCAACCACACTCACCACACACACTGTGTGGTACACTCATCTACACTCACCACACACACTGTGTGGTAAACTCATCCATACTCAGCACACACACTATGTGGTACACTCACCTACACTCACTACACACACTGTGTGGTACACTCAACCACACTCACCACACACTGTGTGGTACACACAACCACAATCACCACACACTGTATGGTACACTCATCATCCACACTCACCACATACTGTGTGGTACACTCAACCACACTCACCACACGGTGTGGTACACTCATCTACATTCGCCACACACACTGTGTGGTACACTCAACCACACTAACCACACACTGTGTGGTACACTCATCCACACTCACCACACACTGTGTGGTACACCCACCCACACTCACCACACACTGTGTGGTACACTCACCGCACACTGTGTGGTACACTCACCCACACTCACCACACACTGTGTGGTACACTCAACCATACTCACCACACACTGTGTGGTACACTCACCCACACTCACCACACACTGTGTGGTGCACTCACCCACACTCACCACACACTGTGTGGTACACTCAACCACACTCACCACACACTGTGTGGTACACTCAACCACACTCACCACACACTGTGTTGTACACTCACCCACACTCACCACACACTGTGTGGTACACTCAACCACACACACTGTGTGGTACACTCAACCACACTCACCACACACTGTGTGGTACACACAACCACACTCACCACACACTGTGTGGTACACTCAACCACACTCACCACACAGTGTGGTACACTCACCCACACTCACCACACACTGTGTGGTACACTCAACCACATTCACCACACACTGTGTGGTACACTCAACCACACTCACCACACACTGTGTGGTACACTCAACCACACTCACCACACACTGTGTGGTATACTCAACCACACTCACCACACACTGTGTGGTACACTCAACCACACTCCACCACACACTGTGTGGTACACTCAACCACACTCACCACACACTACGTGGTACACTCAACCACACTCACCACACACTGTGTGGTACACTCAACCACACTCACCACACAGTGTGGTACACTCACCCACACTCACCACACACTGTGTGGTACACTCAACCACACTCACCACACACTGTGTGGTACACTCAACCACACCCACCACACACTGTGTGGTACACTCAACCACACCCACCACACACTGTGTGGTACACTCAACCACACTCACCACACACTGTGTGGTACACTCAACCACACTCACCACACACTGTGTGGTACACTCAACCACACTCACCACACACTGTGTGGTACACTCACCACACTCACCACACACTGTGTGGTACACTCAACCACACTCACCACACACTGTGTGTACACTCAACCACACTCACCACACACTGTGTGGTACACTCAACCACACTCACCACACACTGTGTGGTACACTCAACCACACTCACCACACACTGTGTGGTACACTCAACCACACTCACCACACACTGTGTGGTACACTCACCACACTCACCACACACTGTGTGGTACACTCAACCACACTCACCACACACTGTGTGGTACACTCACCCACACTCACCACACACTGTTGTGGTACACTCAACCACACTCACCACACACTGTGTGGTACACTCAACCACACTCACCACACACTGGTGTGGTACACTCAACCACACTCACCACACACTGTGTGGTACACTCAACCACACTCACCACACACTGTGTGGTACACTCAACCACACTCACCACACACTGTGTGGTACACTCAACCACACTCACCACACACTGTGTGGTACACTCAACCACACTCACCACACACTGTGTGGTACACTCAACCACACTCACCACACACTGTGTGGTACACTCAACCACACTCACCACACACTGTGTGGTACACTCAACCACACTCACCACACACTGTGTGGTACACTCAACCACACTCACCACACACTGTGTGGTACACTCAACCACACTCACCACACACTGTGTGGTACACTCAACCACACTCACCACACACTGTGTGGTACACTCAACCACACTCACCACACACTGTGTGGTACACTCAACCACACTCACCACACACTGTGTGGTACACTCACCCACACTCACCACACTGTGTGGTACACTCAACCACACTCAACACACACTGTGTGGTACACTCAACCACACTCACCACACACTGTGTGGTACACTCACCCACACTCACCACACACTGTGTGGTACACTCAACAACACTCACCACACACTGTGTGGTACACTCAACCACACTCACCACACACTGTGTGGTACACTCACCCACACTCACCACACACTGTGTGGTACACTCAACCACACTCACCACACACTGTGTGGTTACACTCACCACACTCACCACACTGTGTGGTACACTCAACCACACTCACCACACACTGTGTGGTACACTCAACCACACTCACCACACACATGTGTGGTACACTCACCCACACTCACCACACACTGTGTGGTACACTCAACCACACTCACCACACACTGTGTGTACACTCAACCACACTCACCACACACTGTGTGGTACACTCAACCACACTCACCCACACACTGTGTGGTACACTCAACCACACTCACCACCACACTGTGTGGTACACTCAACCCACACTCAACCACACACTGTGTGGTACACTCAACCACACTCACCACACACTGTGTGGTACACTCAACCACACTCACCACACACTGTGTGGTACACTCAACCACACTCACCACACACTGTGTGGTACACTCAACCACACTCACCACACACTGTGTGGTACACTCAACCACACTCACCACACACTGTGTGGTACACTCAACCACCACTCACCACACACTGTGTGGTACACTCAACCACACTCACCACACACTGTGTGGTCACTCAACCACACTCACCACACACTGTGTGGTACACTCAACCACACTCACCACACACTGTGTGGTACACTCAACCACACTCACCACACACTGTGTGGTCACACTCACCCACACCACCACACACTGTGTGGTACACTCAACCCACACTCACCACACACTGTGTGGTACACTCAACCACACTCACCACACACTGTGTGGTACACTCAACCACACTCACCACACACTGTGTGGTACACTCACCCACACTCACCACACACTGTGTGGTACACTCAACCACAACTCACCACACACTGTGTGGTACACTCAACCACACTCACCACACACTTGTGGTACACTCAACCACACTCACCACACACTGTGTGGTACACATCAACCACACTCACCACACACTGTGTGGTACACTCAACCACACTCACCACACACTGTGTGGTACACTCAACCACACTCACCACACACTGTGTGGTACACTCACCCACACTCACCACACACTGTGTGGTACACTCACCACACTCACCACACACTGTGTGGTACACTCAACCACACTCACCACACACTGTGTGGTACACTCAACCACACTCACCACACACTGTGTGGTACACTCACCCACACTCACCACACTGTGTGGTACACTCAACCACACTCCACCACCACTGTGTGGTACACTCAACCACACTCACCAACACTGTGTGGTACACTCAACCACATCACCACACACTGTGTGGTACACTCACCCACACTCACCACACACTGTGTGGTACACTCAACCACACTCACCACACACTGTGTGGTACACTCAACCACACTCACCACACACTGTGTGGTACACTCAACCACACTCACCAACACTGTGTGGTACACTCAACCACACTCACCACACACTGTGTGGTACACTCAACCACACTCACCACACACTGTGTGGTACACTCACACCACACTCACCACACACTGTGTGGTACACTCAACCACACTCACCACACACTGTGTGGTACACTCAACCACACTCACCACACACTGTGTGGTACACTCACCCACACTCACCACACACTGTGTGGTACACTCAACCACACTCACCCACACACTGTGTGGTACAACCTCAACCACACTCACCACACACTGTGTGGTACACTCAACCACACTCACCACACACTGTGTGGTACACTCAACCACACTCACCACACACTGTGTGGTACACTCAACCACACTCACCACACACTGTGTGGTACACTCAACACTCGTTCAGAGCAGATTTTTCGTGAATGTGTTCTATCTATTCATCTATCAGTGTGACCGTTCATTCATTCTGATGGTGACCGTTTAATCATTCTGATGGTGACCGTTCTTTCATTCTGATGGTGACGTTCATCCCATACTCGCACTGTGGTACCTTTAATCATTCTGATGGTGACCGTCTTACATTGATGGTGACCGTTCATTCCATTCTGCATGGTGGACCGTTCTTCATTCGATGGCTGACCGTTTAATCATTCTGATGTGTACCGTTCAACATTCTGATGTGACCGTTTAATCATTCTGATGGTGACACGTTCTTTCATTCTGAATGTGACCGTACATCATCTGTTGTGACCGTTAATCATTCTGAGGTGACCGTTACATTCATCTGATGGTGACACGTTCATTCATTCTGATGGTGACACTCTTTCACTTCTGATGGATGACCGTTTAATCATTCTCGATCGTGACCGTTCACACTTACATTCTGATGGTGACCGTTCATTCATTCTGATGGTGACCGATCATCATCTGATGGTGACCGTTCATCATTCTGATGGTGACCGTTCATACATTCTGATGGTGACCGTTCTTTCATTCTGATGGTGACCGTTCATTCATTCTGATGGTGACCGTTCTTTTCATTCTGATGGTGACCGTTCATTCATTCTGATGGTGACCGTTCATTCATTCTGATGGTGACCGTTCTTTCATTCTGATGGTGACCGTTCATTCATTCTGATGGTGACCGTTCATTCATTCTGATGGTGACCGTTCATTCATTCTGATGGTGACCGTTCATTCATTCTGATGGTGACCGTTCTTTCATTCTGATGGTGACCGTTCATTCATTCTGATGGTGACCGTTCATTCATTCTGATGGTGATCGTTCATTCATTCTGATGGTGACCGTTCATCCACCCTGATGGTGACCGTTCAGCCATTCATTGCTGTTTGTGATACATATTTTTCTGTTTGTTTGTTTGTTTGTTTGTTTGTTTGTTGTTTGTGTTGTTGAGGTTATACATGGTTCTAGTCATCAGAACCAGACGTGGGTCGTCTCATTTAATGATTCCCTTTCAACTCCGGTAAGTTCATCCATCCCTCCACTAATGTATTCTTCCACCCATCAACTCATGCATTTACACATGTGTGAGAGCAGGTCTTGCATGTGACGGTGACGTGTATGAGGGACGGAGTGTTGGAGGCCGCTCTCCACCACCACCACCACCATCCCCACCACTACATCAACATCACTAGACGTGCCAGCCTGGTGAGCATGTGTGCGAGGGAGGGGTAAGGGGAAGGAAGGACGGGGGTTAGGGACTGAGGGAGGGGTTTACGGAGGGAGGGAGGGGGTTTAGGGAGGGAAGGGTTTTAGTGAGGGATGGGGTTAAGTGAGGGAGGGGGTTTAGGGAGTGAAGGGGTTTAGTGAGGGAGGGGGTTTTGGAAGGGAGAGAGGTTAGTTAGGGAGGGGTTTAGTGTGGAAGGGGGTTTAGTGATGCAGGGGGTTTAGGGAGGGAGGGGATCCAGGAGGGAAAGGGTTTAGGAAGGGAGGGAGGGTGGGTGGGGGTTTAGTGAGGTAGGGGGTGGGGAGAAATTTTCTCCAGGAGGAGGTATCAGCCTCTTTCAGCCCCTTTCTGCCCTGAAGGGCCCAGCCCTCTCAAAAGGGGCAAATATCTTGTTTACTGCTACAGCAAGTAATTAATCCCAGATGCAGTACCAGTATGTGACGTGGTCAAGCGACCGCCGCTCCTTGCAAGAGTCCAGTGTTGCAAAGTATAGTTTAATAAGAGACAGTACATCTTTTACCTTAGCAGGACAATTAAGGAAAATCCTGCTCCCACTTTATTACCATGGTAAAGGTAGTGTACATTGTTGTCTAACAAGAATCAAGCATTCTGCTTTGCTTTATGGAGGAAGTTTGGCAAGGAAGCAAAAAGTACTAGGTCAGCTTTTCCTTTATGTTCTAGGGGCATTGCAGCAGCGTAGGACGCTGTGAGGTCAGATTACTTTTCACCCTACTGGGAGTCACACTGGCGCCAGGATAACCAACAAAGAACACTGATCCGTATGTTAGTGTGAACAAAGTGTCTCACAAACACAATAAACACTTACAGAGAAGTGTGATCAGCTTCTTTAGTGATAAGGTTGCGAACAATAAAGACAAACCTTGTGGAATATAGTGTACCAGTGTGTGTATTTCTAGACTATGGAAGACGTGGACATCCAAGGACACTTCAGCTTCTATCGAGTCACCAATACCTGTCGAGGGTGTAAAGAACACCATAGCTCACGCTACAAGAGCAAGGTAGGTTACTAATTATCTTGTAATACAGAGGACTGCACAGTTCTTGTGTCACAAGGAGTTTGTAATCAACCTATAGTCGGCAGTGAGGTGCGGACGTTTGGGTCCATACACATAAGTTTTGTCAGCAATCAGTGAATGAAATATGCTGACATAATATCTCCTAGGGGTAATTTATTATTAAGACATTTCCATTTCAGCCCATTGCGAAGTGGTTACAACAGCTTCTCAAGACCTCACCTGCAGAGGCGGCTGTGTGGGTGATAGCTGTCTTATCAAGCTAAGTTCCCCCTATATTTAATCTTTAACCTTAGCTGGTAAACCATTTCTCAACAATTTGGTCGTGCTCGAAAAGGATAAAGGCCACACTGTGGTCCAAATATGTTGTACTACAGTGTACAAATAACCTACAAGCCAAGGTCCTTCGAAAAAAAGCTGTAAAACTAGTGTCTCACAATATAAATCACTATAAATGAGTCCCTGCAGGCTCAATCACAGAGAATGGGCAGCCAATAGAAAACAGGAGGTGCTCACCCAGCTTTCATCCATTACCCAAAGAAAATGGAAGCTGGGTGACTCACCCAACAGAAAACAGGGGACGGCACCCGTCATCCACTGCGCTCCAGCTCGAGAAACGCTGACGACAGCAGCAACCCAACTAAGTAAGTAAGTTTATTCAGGTATACACAAATACAGTTACATAAAATTATCATACATAGCAGTATATGCGTAGAGAACCTGGGATAACCCAAAAAGTCAGACAGAGTGACTTATTTCCATTGGGGTCCTTCTACCTTATTATTATAATATAAAGGTCCGGTGGTCTGGTGAGTGGCCCGGTGGTCTGGTGGCTAAAGCTCCCGCTTCACACACGGAGGGCCCGGGTTCGATTCCCGGCGGGTGGAAATTCCGACACGTTTCCTTACACCTATTGTCCTGTTCACCTAGCAGCAAATAGGTACCTGGGTGTTAGTCGACTGGTGTGGGTCGCATCCTGGGGGACAAGATTAAGGACCCCAATGGAAATAAGTTAGACAGTCCTCGATGACGCACTGACTTTCTTGGGTTATCCTGGGTGGCTAACCCTCCGGGGTTAAAAATCCGAACGAAATCTTATCTTATCTTATCTTAATATTTTCTTATTATTCTATAATGAAAATAACATCTTATTGTCATACTAAAAAGACTATCTACTACACGAGGGTCATTAAGACTATCTACAATACGAGGGTCGTTAAGACTATCTACAATACGAGGGTCATTACTAGGAATAAGGTAAAATTTACACGTATGTTAGCTAAAAAATAGAAAATCATTCCCCTCCCTTTCTGTTGCTACATTCATCAGACACGTTTTGGCACTCTTCTTGAACTGGTTCATGCTATGACTGGCTTTGACATGTGCAGGCAGTCTGTTCCATTCCTTTATTGCCGTACAATAAAAGATGTTTGAAGCCTGGCCACTGACTGTGGGTACTACAAAGTTGTGCTCTCTCCCCCTAGTACTATGATTGCTTTGGTTCCCAACCTTGACAAAATTGACAGCAAGATATTCTGGACATTGTTTGTGAGCAATTTTATAAACATGATTTAGCTTCAGTTGTTTTACTCTGTCTTCAACATTCAGCATATCCAACTGCTGAATGTTGAAGACAGAGTAAAACAACTGATGTTTAGTTTGTCTGAGTGTATATACACATAGTGTTTATAATGTTTATAGACAGAAATTAAGAGACAAGATTGTGTTTATGTTTGTTTCTTATAGATTTAACTGTTATATTAAAGCAAACTATATATAAAATGTAAGCTTTCATATATATATATATATATATATATATTTTAATTTTTTTATATAATTAAATATTATATATATATATTATATACTATATATATATATATTTATATTTTATTATCATATATATATATTTAACAGTGACATTTATATATGTGTAAGAAATATACACTTATGATTTACAGTTATACAGTGACATTTATAGTGTATAGCGAAAGAAGTGTATAACATTATTTACGGTGACTCAGGAGTGTCAAGCTGACACTGCAAACTCAAGCCATAAACACCAGAGGTCGTCCAGCCATATATACTCTGTGCCCTTCATGGTCATTGACCCTTAGTAGGTCAGTAGTGTCTGGCTGATTATTGCTGACTTAAGCATAAAAACTCAACTGTTTATAGCAGTGCAGTGCTTTTTAAACACTCTAAGTGTGGTGCTAGAATTTTCAGTATACCATTAAAATGGCTTGTTTGAAAACTCAGTTTCAGTCTTTACAGACAAGGATTACACAATTAAAAAATCTAATTTCAGTCTGTATAGGATTAACTCAAGATACAAACATAGATTTTGATGATCTTGAGGACAAATTTGAATTACTTACACAACGTCTGGAAATAATTAATTCAGACTATACACATTATGCAAATAAATTTCTTGAATCAGATCCATCTGAGGATGAAATTAAAAATGTTTTGGATGCTTTTAGTAATTAACAATTAAGGTGGACAAGAGTACAGGCTATCTGCCGCAAAACTCTGTCACAGAGACCTACTGTAACTAGTGGTCAAACACCTGTTACATCAACACATGGAGCAACAAGTGTACCATTACCAAGCTTACCTACCTTGTCATTACCTATTTTCCAAGGTCATAATTATGAAGAATTCATTAGTGGTTTTCAGTCCATAGTACATTCACGAACTGACATAGATGAGATTGATAAGTTCAATTATCTTAAATGTCTTGTGAAGGGAGAACCCTACGAATTGATTAAGTCATTTCCGGTGGTTAAAGGCAATTATCAAATAGCCTTACGTGTCTTAGCAGACAATTACTTTGATGCTGACAAGGCCAGGGTTAGATATGCAGTCTTAATATCAAGCTTGAAGCCACCCAAACATTGTTTTTCAGATTTACAGGCATTTAAAATCACATTAGACAAATAGTCTCAGATCTCTGGGTGCTAAATATGACCTAAGACAGTGTGATTGGGTTATCAGTGGTATTGTACAGGATAAGTTGTCACCACAAACTATTGAACGATTAGATATTATGTTCAATAAACCGCTTTTTTATTGTGAAGAAATTAGCAAAGGGTTTACAAAAAATTTGTTTCCCCCATGCAAGAAAGGACAAGATAAAAAACCCAAAAATTCCGTGGTTTAAAAAACCCCTTCCCACCTCAGTATAAAAGAGTTATACCTACCCCCACAAACCACAGAATGGGAAATCCTTTATAGGCATTTATCAAGCTGTAAATACAAGACGGAAAAAAAGGGATTGTTACACTTTAAACGTCTCCAAAATGTGTCCCTTTGTGATGGTAAAAAATTGGGCACAGTATTTTTGTCTTAAAATCAATGGGGCACGTAAACAACGGGTTCACAGTGAAAAGGTGCTTAAAGGGTGTTTAGGTGAACAAAAAGGGAAAAAAAAATGCTCACTGAAAAAGTTTTTTAAAATGAAAGGGTATGCATCATACAGATTATGCCCAAATACTTCTGGGGAACAGCAGAAAAACTCCGCAAAAAATCGGGAAATAAAACAAGCAACAGCATTTAAATGTGGAGAAAAGTTTAAAAAAAACTGCTCTCCGATAGCTCAAATTTGAGTTTCTAAAAAAATTACCCCAAAACCAAGGGCTAACACTATTTGTTTCAAGGCCACAGAGGTCCTTCATAAAAAGAACAGGGGTTTCTGAAATGAATAAAAAAACCTTTTGCCGAGTAAAATTTTAGATATAGTTTTTTTTTTTTCCCAATTTGGAAAAACAGAATATGACCTACCCGAATCACTGTTGGTCTGGGAAAACAAAAAAAAAGGACGGAGAAACTGTGATAATGGGATTTCCCTAAGTCTGTGCAGATCCAGGGTTTTTAAAAAAAAAACAGTTGCAGCATAAAAAGCAGCTAAGGTCAATTTTAGCCTTTGTCCGGGTACAGACGGACATAATTAGTCCAATTGATTTAATCATTGGAAGTGATTTCATCACTGTTTTGTCCCCAAAATTTAGTAAGTAAAAAATGATGTTCACTTGTAAAAAACAGCAGGAGGCCAATGTATGGGTCCCTTTCCCCTCTCAAAGGGGGAAAAAGAAACTGATATTGATTCAGGGGAAAATGCATTTGTTAGGGAGAATAACCGGGGTTCATTTTCCCCAAAAGCAAAAAATTATCTTTACGGGAAAAAAATGAATAAACCAGTTGTTTAAGTTGTGGGATTTAGAGGCAATGGGATTGATGTAAAAAAAACCAACCCACAAGGGGTTTTCAGACTTAAAACCAAATTTATTTGGAACTGTAAAATAAAAAGATGGACAGATTTGGGTTTAGGTTACCATGGAAATTAAACCCACCACATCTGCCTAGCAATTTTTGCATGGTTTTCGGAAAAAATAAAAGAAAAAATACATGAGCTCGGGAAGGGGAACCCAAAGAGTTACTGCTGTTTTGGGGATAATTTTAATTTTAAGAACAGTTAGACAAGGGAATTCATTGGGGAAAGGGTAGTTGAAATCAAGTTAAAGGGACAGAATTTCCTTTATCTCCCGCACCAGGGAGTCAGAAAAGATTCTAAAACCCCACTCCACTAGTGTTGTATATAATTGCAGCCCCGCGTCCCAAATAAAGATTTTGGGCAAGTCTTAATGACTGTCTGATGACCGGCCCCTCACTAACTGAAAAGTTGGGGAGACGTGCTTAGGGGAAATTTCGCACAAACCCATATGCCTACACGGCTGATTTTTCCCAAAAGCTTTTTAAGATTTTGGGAAATTCAAGAAAATTGATAGAGATTATATCGATTCTTGTGGCCTAAAAACCCACATAAATCCCCCAAAAGCCCTGGGGAAAAACTTATCGTTTCAAATCGTATTTTTTGGGTTTGAAACTTTCCTCTCCATTTTTAAATAAAGTTTACTCTAAATACACATTTGAAAAAAAATTCTGAAAGTCCCTTAAAAGGGAAATTTTAAAAGAAAAGTTTCTATGGGGGGGACTTCTTAAAGGTACTGGAAAAAAAAGAGGAGGATTTAAAAATCCTTTACAGGAAGCTAACAAGAAGTTGAAAGAAGAAAATTATGCCTCTAAGGTGGGGAATACAAATTAAAAGAAATTTAAAAAGGGGAATTATAAAGAAGATTTCCCTGAAACTAAAATTCCTGTTTGGGCAAAAATATGCTGGGGCCCCTTAATTGGAAACCCGGGTTATTTTTGGAGTCTCAAAAGGTTTAAAAAATTTAAACCCTGCAGTACACTCACTAAAAGTAGTTTACTGTCAGAGGTATCCCCAAGTTTGATCCTTTTAGGACCGTTCCCCAAATTACCATAAAGGGAAAAAAATACTTATGCAAGTTGCAGGGAAAAACTAAAAATTTTTGGAAATGGGATTGGGGAACTTGCCTCTAGAAATGGAAAGCATGGGAGGAAATATAAAGGAGTTTAAGCAACTTCCCCCCCCCTTCCTTTTCCCCAGACAAATAGGTCAGAGGGAAACAATTACACATTACATGGGGTTCTTGATGCGTCAACCAGAGGTTAGGGCGCTGTACCCTTACATGATTTAAATGTTTAAGGGAAATTTAAATAATTATTTCCCAAAGGCCGGGGGTTGGGCCCCCTTTGAAGGTCAGAAAGTACCAAAATTTTGGAA